AATGTTATCAAAGGGAGAGAGTGCAGCCGATACATCGAGTGGGCAGGAGGGTGTGTGTTGGGAGGGGGTGGGTGTGGAGGGGGGTGTCATACATCACAGGTCTGCTGGAGGTTTGCTCTCCTGCTCCTACGCAATACACTGAAAGCTGATGGAGACGATAGACCTCGGTGTCAGTGCAGCTCACATACTGGGTTAGTACCAGTGATGACAACCAGTAAAACCAGTAAGAAACCTGCAGCCTCCTCTCACTGCTGCCAGTCGTAACTGTAAGACTGTACAGCTGTAACTACTCCATAGCGAAAATTATTCTTCAAATTACAAATATTGTAAATTGTTCTATTTTTTTTTTAGCAAGTAAAAAAATTCAGCAGCAGAGACTGAAGGTAATTAAACACAAAAACTGACTTGGCGGGCCACATTTGGCCCCCAGGCCTTGAGTTTGACACTGTACGAGAACATCTGAAAAAAAACAAACAAAAAAACAACCTTCCTGTCCAGTGACTCCAGAGTACAAGGTGAAAGGTCAAAGGTCTTACCTTTGCCGTTCTCCAAATCCTGAGAGGCGATGACGAAGCCGAAGCCTTCCCCTGGCTTTCTCCTGAGCTCCACCTCGAACCCTCGCAGAGGTCGAGTCTGTTCTCCGCCCTGCCTCCCCATCTCCACGCCGCCGGTGTCGTCCTCCAGGCCCGTGTTGATCCAGTCTTTGGGCTCCATCGTCAGCGTCACCGGGATGGACTCTAGGAAACTGGTGCTCTGGATGAGCGAGGAGTGTTTCGGCACCGGAGAGGGAGGAGTGCTCAGGGAGGTGCGGGGCACGGGCAGCGTATCAGGGAGCAAGGAGGAGACGTCGGAGGCAACAGGTGGAGGAGGAGGACGCAGGTGAGGAGAAGGGAGTCTCCGAAGAGCAGCAGGGGAGGTAGCTGAGGGATAAATACCTGACCATGACGAAGGAAACGAGAGTCGAGTCGAGTCAACTTCTGTTAATGTATATGGTTAATATATATATTTACACATATATTTGTTTAAAATACACGAGAAGAAGTATTTACCTCCTCTGTAAACCAGCAGGATGACTTCTCCCTGACTGGTGTGTTCTTCAAGGATCGTTTGGACCTGTGAACAAAAACAGATTCTTTTGTGAGATGTCAGTTTAAAGTTATTGATTCATATTATAACATCCTGGCATTCCCTTCACAATAAAAGTCACTTGTTTTGACCACCGTTCAGACACATCTTAATTCGAATTTTTTTTGTCAGCTGAAAACCAACACTGTAAGTAACTTGCGATACTATATGTGTGTTAATATACTAAGTTTTTTAAGCAGTTTTTTAGCACTAAATCTTAACGTTTATTCACAAATTCAGAAACACATGTTGTAAAATTGTGATTAACTCTATAATAACAAATATAGGAATTCTTACTTTTCCAAAGTTGTAATTAATTTAAAAAATCAAGTATAATAAATAATCTTTCTAAAAGACACTAGCAGGAGTTTGACTTCTTCTCGTCTTAAATCACCTGTGAACAGCTCAGACTCTGGACATCAGCCCCATTGATTTTAATAATAGCGTCCCCTGGCTGCAGCGTGCTGCACTGCCTCCTGTCCCAGATTTTTCTGACTACGGTCATCTTGCCCCCGGGACCTCCAGCAGTCAGGCTGAGGCCCAGACCTCTGTCTCTCCCACTGTGACCCAAAGCCACAGGCACCAGCTCCCCGCCGCTGCCCACACTCATGGACCGTCTGGAGGACACGCCCCTCATGTTCACAGGCGGACCGCTGTTTGCGTGGACGCTGTTGAAGCTGGAGTATCTGAAGACGTCGGGATAGTCGGAGGTGGAGGAAGGTCTGGGGTGGGAGGTTTGACGTCTGAAGAGGCGGGGCTGTGTGCCGCGGGGGCTGCTGGGGGGAGACACCGGTCTTCGCGGCGCCTGAGGCAGCGG